CATTTGCAGCTCTGCCCATGTCCAGAGTCCTGCCTTCGTCTCTCAGCGTTAGTCCTGATAGTGTGTGTGTGTGTGTGCATCTGTAATGCCTGGTTTGTGTGTGTGTGTGTGTGCGTGTCTGTAATGTCTGATGTGTGTGTGTGTGTGTGTGTGTGCGCGTGCGTGCGTCTGTAATGTCTGATGTGTGTGTTCTTCAGTCGGCAGCTGCCCATGTATAACAGTGAGCACCGCTGGCAGCAGCTGAACCCGGGCCCCGGCGGGCCGTACCTGGCGTACCCCATCCTGTCGTCTCCTCAGCCGCCCGTCAGCAGTGATTACGCCACATACTATCACGCCATCATGCCCACACCCTGCCCGCCAGTCATGGGCTTCTACCAGCCGTTCCCGGGGCCGTACGGCGGGCCCCTGCTGAACCCCCTGTCAGACTGCAGCGACAGACCCCTGCAGCCGGGACAGACCCCCAGAGCCAGAAGCGGAGCGCGCACACCGGTGCTGCAGAAGGTGAAGCTGCACTGACAGAACACTAAACAGCATTTCACACACACTCCAGTTTCTGTGTGTGTCATCTTAAAGAGACAGTTCACCCCAAATGATCATTACCTTTTAGTTCACTAACACACAGCTCGTCCAGGATGCAGGTGACCGGTTTGTTTTGTTCCCTCTGTATATTAACCTGTACATACACTGAAATGAAATATTAGTTACAATGAACTTACTGTGTGAAAACATGTTTGCTTGTTGTTTTTTCTTTATTAGGTCAGACAGAAAACAACACCATAAATACAATATAAATACTAATGATGCACACAGATATGAGGGATGCTCTGATCAGGATGTGTGGAGCCGATACAGAGCACTGATTCTGATGCTTCAGGGTTTATAAAACTTTACCAATGCATAAAGCACATTTCCCCTCTAAGTACAATACTAAAGTGGAGCTTTCTCCTTTCCTAAAAGAATAAATGATGGATGCTGCATATATAATTCCTTAAACACATCTCTCATAAACATTTAGTGTGGACATGTCATGATCAGAAGCAGCTTTACACAAAATAATAGATTAAACAGATAAAAAAGGTGAGAATAATGACTGACAATGCAATTTGGAAAAACTGCAAGTGATGGAAGAGGAATTCAACATGCCTCAGTGAAACACCTAAACTAACGCTTGGGATTGGTTCATGTAATCGGCCAGATAAGCAAGTCATCAAATGTGATTATCGGCCGATGCCGATCGATTGGAGCATGCCTATTTTATATATATATATATATATATATATATATATATATATATATATACATAACATGCCATAAAAATCAGGCACTAATACAATTCACCAAACTAAAAACTATCAGGAAACATAATTATACACAAAATATACATGAATAAAATAACAAGAAAATAATAATTAATCTGTGAATCAATTAACAGGAAATCACTTCAAAGTCCACATGAAATCAAAATGTTTATTTTGCTTAGCTCTCATACTTACTCTGAAGGTGAACAGTTGATTTGTGCAAGTCAATCCTCTGAATAAACTGTGTTATTGGTAATCTGCTTCTGCGTTTGGATTGGCTGCTTTTCTGATGATGCCAGTTTGACGCTTCTGACACAATATTCTTAGCCACGCCCTCTTATTCACTATCGCCCTTAAGGCGAAACAAGTAAAAAATAAGAGGGGGAAGCCAAACATCACGTTACAAAAGTTTTATTTAAGCCCACTGTGATCAAACATTAGGCAAGAACGCCCCGCCAACTCACACGCCGCTGGTCTCCATCCCAACCCTTAGCCGGAAGAATCAGACTCTCAAACAGTGGCAGGGCGCTGATAAAAGAGAGCTCACTTAGACTCAGGTGTTCCCCATTCACCTGATTATGCCCCGCAATGTTACAGCGCATCTGTAGAGGGAGCAAAACAGACACACAGACAGACACGGCAGACAAATGACAGCGCAGCAGGCGTCACATCTTAGCCCTGCTGCTTGTACTGTTACAGTCCATTCACACAGGGCAGCAGCGTCAACGCTTACCATTCACTATGAATGGGTGACATCAGGCGTTGCTGAACTGCGTTGTGGATCTGTTGGCACCGCTTTAGTGGCGTTTCTTGCAGAAGTTGGGACTTTCTCAACTTTTTAAGCATTGATAGAAACGTCAGCCAATCAGATCGCTTTATGCACAAGCTCAGACAGTGGCCTATCGCTGACTAATTTCATTGGCTGATGCTGCTATGATGATCGCATCAGCCCCAACTTCAGACACGCCCTCTGTCAAGCGTTGACACTGTAGCCCCATGTGAATCGGGTGTTATGAGGTAATGATGCAAATATCCTAATGACTTTAAGAAATTACTTCAATAAATAAAAAATTATAAATACAATTATGAAACAACAAATTTAGCAAAATATGTATTTAATATATATAAACTTTATACGACCATATATTTTTACCATAAACAACAGCAATTTACTATCCAAATGAAAGAAAAACAGCATAATATTCCTTTCAAAGACTGTGCAGGCATTATCAGGCTGTATTTGAGTTAATATTTACTCCTCTGTATGGAGTTTTTATCACATATGCAGTTTTGCTTTTCCAACACCTCAACAGTTCCATGTTTTACTCTACATCTACATTTATTCCTGGATTCTGTTCCTGCTGAACTGAACTTGGACTGTATATTCTGAGAGTAAAAGACATCTAAGATGTGTGTTTGTCTTCTGCAGCAGCCGATGGTTCAGCCAATCAGAGCCAAGCGTCCTGTGATGCGGAGCGTGGCGGTGCAGAAGGAGGTGTGTGCTGCTGGGCCTGATGGGAGGTCCAAGACAGTCCTGCTGGTGGACGCAGCGCAGCAGACGGGTAATGACCTTTGGCTGCTTGTATGAAACACTCTGCTGTTAAAGGTGCCATATCTGCCCTGATTCAAGAGCTTACAATGTTCTCTGATATCTACATGGTAGGTTTATGGCTTTGATAAGTTCACAGAATCTCCAGAATAGGTGCTCATATATTGCTCCATAAATTACCCCTGCAATCAGAAGGTCCATATTGACCTTATTTGGATTGGTCGTCAATATAATGAACTCAGCTCTAACATGCAGCTCTCACACACACACACACACACACACACACACACACACACACACACACACACAGCATGATGCACACTGAACACAGCCAACACTAACCTCCCCAACACTGTGCATAAGTCTACCTTTGACCTCCAGTCCTGCAGTGAGCTCTGTGTGTGTGTGTGTGTGTGTGTGTTCAGATTTCCCTGGCGAGGCATCCGGCGGTGTCAGGTGTGTGTCAGATCAGGTGAGCCCCCAGCAGTGGAAGAACAAGCCCCGGCGCAGGCGCACGTCTCAGCAGGAGTCATCCAGTGAGCAGGGGGCGAGTGAAGCAGACATCGACAGCGACAGCGGATACTGCAGCCCTAAACACAACCAGGGGGCCGCAAACCCCTCCAGCAGCCAGAACACCAACACCGCGGTACACACTGCTGCATCACAGTACACTGAGCATCACACCGGTGCTGTGCGGGTTTAACTATTCTGTGACGGCTCAATAGTCCTCACTTACAAACCACACACTATTGAGGACAATATTACTAGTCCTCTTGAATTAAAAGTGATTATAAATCCACATGTTATTAGCATGTAATGATGTGGAGTTGTGTTGCGTTAGGCAGTATTGTTAACCTTATAGAAAAACTGTGGAAGTCTATGCAATGTCCCCACTAACATAGTGAAACAAGCCTGTGTGTGTGTGTGTTTGCAGGCTGTGGATGCTGGCATCATGACAGGTAAGATCTCTCTCTTCCACCTGAACTCTCAGGGGTGTCTGTAAGTGTGTGTGTGTTTCTGGTCACATCATAAAGGTTGCCTATAACAGGCAAATGGAGTGTGTGTGTGTGTGTGTGTGTGTGTGCGTTTCTGTGTGTTTGTGTTTGCGTTTGCTTGTTTCTGTGTGTGTTTTTGGTGTTTTTGTGCTTGCACTTGTGTGTGCATCCATATATATGTGTGTGTTTGTGTGTGTTTGTCAGCTGTGAGCTGGGGGAGTGTGTCCTCTCCGGGCGTCCAGAAGCCGTGGTCAGACAGAAGCACACTCTTTCACAGAGGCAGCAGAACACCTGAGCAGAGGAGCTACACACAGGTACAGCTGCAGCGTCACATGATCACATGACACATGGCTGCAGCACTCTGACACCTGTGTGTGTAATACTCTGCATCATCTGACCTGCAGGACTTCCAGATGAGCTTTGTTGGACGAGTGGGAGGACAGAGGAGATGCACGCCTCCAGAGACCCCCAACACACACCTCACACCTGAGCCGCTCTACTTCCAGGTGTGCGCACACACACACACACACACACACACACACCTCACACCTCAGCTGCTCTACTTCCATGTATACACACACACACACACAGAAATGCAATTAAATGTAATTAAATGTGTTTTGATTATAACAGATATTGTGTGTGTGTGTGTGTGTGTGTGTGTGTGTGTGTGTGTGTGTGTGCGTGCGCGTGCTTGTGTGTGTGCGCGTGGTTTCTCTGCTCTTCAGGATGAGGATGAGTTTCCTGATCTGGCCACAGGCAGCGCTGCGCAGCGGAGTAAACCAGAACCAGCCCAGCCCAAACTGACCAAGAGTCTGGTGAGTGTGTGTGTTTGGATGTTTGTGTGTGTTTGTGTATGCGTATGTGATTGTATAAGTTTGTGTGTATGTATGCATGTGTGTAGGTGAGTGTATGCATGTATGCGTGCGTGTGTGTACGTGCGTCCATGCTTAAATGTGTGTGTGCGTGCGTGCGTGCGTGTGTGTTTGGGTGTTTTTGTGTCTGTGTGTATAATTTATAATGTGTGTGCATGCGTGTGAGTGTTAATGTGTGTGTGTGTTTGTGTGTATGCA